TGAATCCATGCCTTTAACAACTAGACTTGTGTAGTTCGCGAATGAACTCGTCCTAGGAACGCTCCCACATGTAAACTACTTGAACTAGTTCCCTCATTCCCTGTTCCATAGTTCATTATTTCGTGACCGAATGAGCGAGAATGGCGTCAATTGAACGTATGTTGTTACGAAACTCATTACACACAGGTATAATTTGGAGAGTTTTTTCGAGGGACTGCTCTATGATTGCCACAATTACTTCCATAAACGTATTCAAAAAGTTGAAAATTAAAGAAAAGTACTATTCCTTCGGAGGGTTTCCTGTTTTAAAAGTACAAAATTGTAGGTAAAAGTACAGCATTTCATAAGCTTACTTATCAGATGCGGCCAGAGCAGTATCAAAAAGAGCAAACGATCTGTCTTTCACTGATTCGAACTAGGAGCTGACGAACTAGAAGAATGAACTAGTTCGTTTAGGGGCGGCGACCTAAACTGAGCGATCTCAGTTGCGAACAACTATGCCCATGACTATTAACAACCTGTCACCATGGGAATCAACGCATATAGACGTATGCAAAGGCATTCTATACTAAGGAACTATGATAAAAACTCAATCCGATTTAAGTGGAAAAGCGATTCCACACAGAGGCATGCGTACGTAGCTCTACGTTTTTTGTGGTATGACAGCGAAAATCGATGACCCTATAAACGATTTGAACAAAATGGAAGTTCAATTACGTGCAGACAGAGAGATCTATTCAGTAAATTTATACTGTACAAAAAATGCAACAGCAGCTGAATCGAAGTTAATTTGATTCGGTAACTTCTGTATTCGATGAAACATTTAGGTATGGACTTGGTTGTAAAATAACGACAGTTGTTAATCAGTCATCAGATGGATACCTACCAGTTCGAAAGATCTTAAATCCAAGATAACACATATGGAGATAGTAGAATGAGAGATCTTATGAAATGACGACGGAATTAAAGCTTATTATACTATTATGGCATTCTCCGCTGTATGATGATCTTAATTCTATGGAAAAACTACGAAGAAGCTGGAAGCATAATGATAAATAGATGTATATGCAACGAGCTATTTATTTTCTTAAGCACACAATAGGGTAAAGATGACACACAAGTATTTGAACGAAGTACGCACCCATGAAAATTAAGCAGTGCTTTTTAAGAGCAGTATCCGGCTTAGACAGTTGTATTTGATGGCGTTAGCAGTTTGTAGTCAACAATCTTTATAAAAGTATGTTGTCTATTCTGTATATTTGTTTATAAACGAAGCATATAGCATAATACGAACAGGTGACAATTAAGTTATAAATATAAGAATAACAATTATAAAATAAATATTGTAAAAACCTTGTTAAAATTATGTCGTTTTTCTTTTTCATGTCAAACAAATTGAACTTCACAACAATGTTACATGTGTCTGTGGGTTCTTATCACAACTTTTGACTATCTAGGTCAAACCAACCTAGAAATTCTGTATATTCCCTAAACTTCTTTATGCTTAAGCCTATTATTTATTTTATAACTATGTAGTGGTCGCCTGTTGGCCGGAATACAACCTTTTTTAGATCTAGGTATTTACTCCCAAATAATCAAAGGTTCTTCCATTAAAAATTACCATCTACTTTCTATGTTCTTCTGCAAAAGATGTGGATTGCAAACGCATAGTAGTGTGTACTGTTTTTATGTGATTTTTATGCATTTAACAATAAAAATATCAGCTTTTGGCATATAAGCTGTAATTATGAAAAAATGACACACTCCTCGATATGCAAAAGAGTAATCACTGTCTAACTTATTTTTTTAAATAATCTGGCTTTAAAAAGTAAGTAAATTTCGTGAACAAAGACAAATAAACTTGCGCAGTAGACGTTTGTGTATGCAAAATTGCTACTACGGGGTGTATACTACCTATTTCTTCTCAGGATACATTGAAAATTTATAAATAAAGGTATAATAACCTAACGGCAACATATCCAAATAATATATAGAACATATGTATCACACGTAACTGTCTTCATTACTGGTTTGCTTTTGCCAATTAGTCTTAATTACAGATGAAGAAAAAATCTTGTAATGCATGCATTCTTATAAACGTTTTAAGTCCCACAACATCGTTATAACAACAAATTCAAAAGGAAGCCAAGTGCTTAAACATGCTGACATTGCAAAAAAAAAATGACACAAGAAAGATACTTGTTAAATGTTATATATGTAATTATGATGGCGATTTACATGCTACCAACTGTGTTTACAGTTATATCTTTACATCTCGTTTCCTTGTCTACTATTATTTGCACCGTATTTGTAAATCTAATATCAGACCAAAATGGTACACACCGGGCAGAAGCTCAGCATAAATACTTATGAAGTCTGATTTAATCTCAAATATACAAAGCAGGTCGGAGCTTTTATTTAATAAATAAAGGTGTTTTAAGATTGAGAAATTTTAGTTAGACTTTTACTTTTAACATACCTATCAATGGGTATAACGACAGTAAATTGTACTAAGTTGATGATATCAGTAATAATTCGAGTATATTTAAGGTTCCGTGCCTCAAAAAAAGAAACGGAACTATTATAAGATCACTTTGTTGTTCGTCTGGTGAGGACCCTTTATCTCGGGATCGTGTGGAGGTATCGAGTTACAATACAATACACAATTCTTTAACGAAAACACCACAATACAGTACATAAATGGGGTAAATAAATTATGTTTAAACATAGTGATTCAATGGACGGTCTTATCGCTAAGAGTGATTTCTTCCAGACAACCTTTGGATGGAGAGAATTGAAAGAAACTGGAGTCGGTGGTGTTATAAAAGAAACAAGGGATATGAAAATATGTATATAACTTTATAAATTAAATATATATACATAACATTTATACAAAATAAATAAACAGAATATTACTATAAGATATATACATATAAATATATGACACATACATACATATACTACACATACAAAAGTTTAGTCCCGCCAGTCAGAAAAAAATGCAGTTACATCGACAAATAATGGTTGAAACAAGACTTTTGAAAATATGAATGTGCTTGTCTTATGGATACCTACTGGAAGAGAATTCCACAGGCTAACAGCTTAGACGGCAATAGAACGACCATAGAAGGTTGTGTCATGAGTAGGAATTTTAAGGATTAAATTTTCTGATGACCTAGGAGATAACGCGTTTGAGCTATAAAGGTAATTAAAGCATTCCTTGAGATAGCGCGGGGACAAAGGATTGAACAATATATTGTAGAGAAGTTGATATTTATAAACCATAAACTCAAGTCTATGATCCCTTGAAGCTGTGAAATAATCAAATTAACCTTTTAAGTTAACGTTAAAATAATATACATAAACGATATGTTGCGTATCTACAAATTTGTACGGATCCTTCGGTGGGCGAGTCCGACTCGCACTTGTCTGGGTTTTTTTAATATTCATGTTATTTTCCAGTTGAGACTTACCTTTTTACTAATTAAACAGAATAATTAAAGCTTTTCTTAAAGGAATCTCAGCAAACACCCCTCGTCAGTGAAGTTCATAACCTAAGGTTACAGTTGGCGGCGATCTACAAAGTTCTTGCTTTCGAAACCTGGTATGGCCGATTGTTTGTAAGATGTGATGACTGAGAGACATTCTTGTATCCATAAAGCTTCCAAAATTTATAAATAATGATTACCTATATAAAGCTGAATAAAGCAATCCCTTCTTTTTAAATGAAATAAAGGATGCTGCATTGCAGTTGTAATTGAGAGCGGTTTTTAACACGTTTAAAATTGACATCTTTCGTAAAAGCTCCACCAATAAATAGCTGGCTTAAAACTAATTAAGTTTTGATGATATTAGCCGAGGCTGGTCGGGAATCTCAGCATTTTTAATTTGTGGATTAACTGTAACGAAGTAAGGGCGTGACGACGGTCACGGCTCGCCGGAGGCAGCTGCCACTTTGCGACACCTGTTTATTTATATTTGGTTAGGAATTTTGACGCAAATCTTTGAAGCTATTTCTTATAATACTTTTTTAAGGTCTAGGCAAAGATGTGTTTACTTAGATGAAAAATTAAAATACAGTTAAGTTCGAAAATTAGTTAAACTAGTTAGTTATCTATTATCAGATTTTCCAATAGCAGTTACATCAATGTTAGTAGGTTAAACTTCCTAAACAACTATATCGAATATCAAGTTAAAAAAACAATTTATATCATCCTACATTGTTTGTGACTACGCCTAAGCAGTTATCTTGAAGTGTGCATCGTAAAAAAATTGATTGACTTTCTATAGCGGTTTTAATTTCGTATAAAGAGACGAGTCTCAATGAGTTCGGCCAAAAATAAAGCTAATCTCAACATCTCTTCCTGCGCTCGTATAGTCATCGATGGAGAGATATCGAACTACACATAACATCGTTGACCCGAGAGCGGTCCGAGCTGCCATTCAATCAGAACTAGGCAATTTCTCCACGCGAATGTCACGGTAATGACCACACCGCAAACTACAGTGCCCAATTTTGCCCTAATCCGATGCCAATCAACAATGTAGATCACAAGATTGTCGAATTGTGTGGTGGATCGGTGGTCGTGTCATGAGAACGATAAGGTACCGGCGAACAGGTGGTGCCCTCCCCGTCGATCGCTAACTGTTCCACCATCATCAACGGAGTAAGCCGAGCGCGCCAGCGCGCAGTCCCGTCTCGAGGCTCCGCTGAAGCACCACGCAGCTAACTGACGCAATCGCAACCAACACGCGGGATTCTTTAACGAGCTCTCGGCTGCAGCGCGCTGCTCCCCACGGACATTCGAATTTCAAAGTGTTTATATTCAGTGTTGATTCTGTTCAAAAGTTTAAAGTACCTAATTTGTAACCGAGTGTTAAAGAGTTTGTAAGAAACAAAGAAGCATCGAGTTGGGGCTTTTTTTGTTTAGCGCAGTAAGGTAATCGGGGCAGACAGCATTAACGGTTGGCTCCGCGCTCGAGTGTGGCCGACCGCAAGCATGACGGGCACCCGCAGCTGCACACTCGTGGTGTTCTTGCTGGTACGTCTAACAAACATTATCCTAATAACTAATAGGGCTATCAATCAACCGCTTAAGTTGTGTTGATTACCGTTCGACCTATCCGCAATCCATAATGCACTACCGGTAAATTATCTGGCCGCCATTGAACATCCCACTTTGGCATTTCCGTTAGTAATATAAGAAAGTAAATTTCGTGTGATATATTTTTAATTTTATGAATTGACTAAGTTTTAAATGAAAGCCAAGGAAAGAAGTAAACAGTAAGTAGTAACTGAAATGACAAAACACCATTAATAATATATACATCAGTAATACATACGTGGAAACAAAGTTGTTATTTTCAGAATAATCTTTTGACGTGACGGATTTTGTCGCCTCCCTGTGACATAATGTTGACTTTACTTATCGGAGATTTGACCAAAGCTTTAGGATTCCCTTTGTAATCTTTCAAAGTTTTTGTTAATGTCCGGAAATCGAAAGAGTTTCTGATATTTTTACAACTAGCTGTGCCCCGTGGTTTATTAGGGATATTTCCCCGCAGTAAAACTTAGCCAATGTGTTAATCCATGGTGTAAGCTAACTCCATACCAAATATTATAAAAATAAACAAACATACACACTCACAAACTTTCGCCTTTATAATATTAGTGTGATTTACAAAGTTATTTCGAAATTCAAACTACAATTGTAATTTTATCAATAAATTATTGAAAAAGGTCTAATTTCAAAGATCTTTGATCCACATTAATACTGTTTTCTTGTTATTAGAAGGTCTCAAGTGCTATAACGCAATCTCTAAAGAAGAAAACTTGTTTATTTTGATATTTTTAAGCGAATTATTGGACAAGTGGCTCAGGAATCAATTAGTTTGGTAGTACTTAGAATATTTGAATCTACGAGGGCGAGTTGCACAAATTATGTTCTGTTTTATTAAAATCTTCATTAATTAAAATTTTATTAAAACTCTCGATGCATGTAATTGCTTTTGTAAATTAATTCATTTCAATCTCTTCGCATCAAAAACTTATTTAAGTCATGTTCATTTAGCTACAATCGCGTGTCTTTCTTAAATTAGTAACACCTTTAATAATAGTTCCTCGACATAGGTTATTTTAAACATAAGAGGAAGAAACGCATAATTATTATACTTACTCCGTAGGAGTACTAATCTTGTGGATAGGATAGATATCATGGTGTCGCCGACTCGAGAGGTCCCGGGTTCGAATCCCGGTGGGGGCATATGTTTGTGTGATGAATACGAGCATTTGTACTACAGTCATGGATGTTCTCATCAGAATTCGTCAGAAGTAGCAACATTTACAAAAAAAACATGTCGCTACCAATACAACGTCCACTCACATTTTGATTGCTGTGTCATACAGTTATAAATACAAACAGTGTTCTATTAAGTATTAATCATTTAATATTAGGTATAATAGATAATATATCAATAGTAAATCAGTATAGAGCAGACTCATCCCCGCTGACAACACTCGTTCACGAGCATGACGCTTCGCTCAACCATATTTTAGGGAACGTAACGACCCGCTTTACACGACTATGTTTTATTCAATTAAAACTACGGAAATTCGGATTACTATCATAAAATGGAGCACGTATGCTAATTCTGCATCACATTCTCTTTTTGTAAGAATTCGATCCAGGGCAAGGAAGAATCAAAACGAACGTACCAATATATTTTTGCTTTTCTGCGATCCCTATCACATAAACTTATATTAAAATGAACAAATAAACATGTCATAAAGCTAAAACAAGATTTTTCTTAAATCGCACGTCCGAAATTGCACTTAGTTGTAGGATATTGTTGCATACATTATATATACAACAAGAGGGAAAACTTCCATGGGAAGTTATGATTTGCGAATGAATGAAATGAATGAATACGATCAAGATGCTTTCAAACTTCTCTAATGCTCCTTAAGGTTACTCAACGCCTCAAAAATTTCCGATAATATTGTGGCCTAGTTGTACTGCGCCCTAGAAAATATAAGCAGCTGTCTTAGAGTATTTTTTCTGAGCTAATAGTTACATTATTCAAATTACTTATAATATGCGACATCTTCCTACGAAACGACGGATCTAATTTCAAGCAAACCAAAGAATTAGAATTTTTACGAAATTTTAAATTCTAACCACCTTATTAATAAACGAAGACTAAGCTTGGATTAGTTACTCTATGTTTTGTCTCTGTTCATTGAATGACAAAGGGCACTTGTGTGATATGAAAAAAACACGGCGTAACAGTTTCCGGTTGCATATTCTAGGTCCAAGGTACAAAAACACGCGCCGAGAGAAAAACCATCTCATAATGCCTTGTAATGTTCATCATAAAACATTAAACATCCACAATAAAGTGTTGTGCCCTGGTTGTGGCTCTTATAAAACGCACATTACAGGTTAACATGTACAGAAAGTCAACATAGCTAAAATTTTAAGTGTGTTGTGGTAAACAACCACAACGCGTTTCTTAAATGAGGAAAAGTTCACAGGCTACTTAAATATTAGAAAAGTTAAACATAAATATATAGCTATATGTGGTAGCTTGTCAATAGCTTTTAGTAATGTTTTTTGCTGTCCTTTTTTTCATAAGCTGTTAGCTGCCCTAAGATAATAAATAAATAAATAAAAATAAAATAAAACCTAAGTACCTAAATATCATTTTAAAGTTCCATATATTTGGCACTGCAAAATAAATTGCTAGTTTTAGTTTTTCATAAACAATCTTCTGTATTTTTTTTCCTAAACACGATGGATGAATGATTAGTCTCGCTTCACTCGACTAGATACCGCCGGCGTACTTGTTTAATGCGGCAACAAATACTATGCCGAAATCGGCATACCCGAGCTTTCACCGAGCCAGTCAACATGACAGTTGTGTATAGGGTGTACGTAGTGAATGTTTTATTAAAATTTGGTGTTAATCGAAAGTAAAATGCCAGTTTATGTAGTGAAATAATACAACAATAAATAACAAGGTCGCTGGGATCGCATAACATTGATAAGTATAGTAAAATTTCGAAATTTCAACATAAAATAACATGAACCCTAAACTTCATTCAGGTGTTGCCGCGTATACAAGAATCAAGTCCCTATGGTTGAGATTTTTATTTAATATGAATTTATTGTTAGTGTATTTTATTATTGAACCTATATTATTTAAACTTACAATTAAACTTAACCTAGTTTTACATTAGTCAACGTTTATCTTTGTAATCTATCTTTTATTCCTATGATATTCTGTTATTATTTTTAATAACAATTTTTCAACACATTTTCTCGAAAACTGACTCTTATTATTTACACAGTTTTTAGTTTCACAATTCAGCATATTAACTACCATACTTGTTCTGTATTTTGTTTTAAATACTTATCGAGGCACGAAACGCGAGTGATAGGCTGTTGCCGCCAGTTGAATTATGAACATACTTAGGCTTAGTTTTATTGTTATTTATATGTATGTTATTTAGTAACATGACGACATTTCTAAAGCGACGTTCTGATATATCCATCAGAACGTCGCTGGCCGAAAGTCAAAAGTTTTTGAAGGTAGCTCCGTAATGTCCAAATACTTGGCAACAAAGCTGCAAAGGTAGTTGAACTTTATAACAGTTACTAACTACAAGTTTGTTTTTTGTCGCAATTGTGTTGAAAAACGTCGTATGCAGCTCGTGTGCATTGATCATTACACACTCAGCTTCCTTACCTAGTTACAATAATGTCTCGTTTATAGTGACCAAAGTATCACACTTGAATCACTGTTATAATGTACAAGTAAATATTACGTGTAAATAAAATTGAGGTCTAAGCATTTTTTGAAGAAGAAACCTACCTACCTACCTACTCGTATAAGTACACTAAAATATTGATATATTCGCATTTAATTAAGTGCATCTTTTTCAAGTATTTTATGAGCTACATTTATAACCTGTTACATATTAATTATAACCTACAATATTTTCCCTATTACTTGGGTAGCAGTTGAGCAGCTGGCTACACGATTTATGACATTTGATAGCATCATTGCAAATTGACATACACACACTACAATAATGAGTTGCCGCATTTAAGGAGTTGTTGTTTTTTGACAGCGCGGTATCTAGTCGAGTGAAGCGAGACCAATCATTTATCTATGCTAAACACATTATCCTTTTAATTTTTTTATTCTTGTTAACCATAGCTCACTGTCAGCACTTGCTTTGTTCTCTTAGGTTTCTGTTACTTATTTAGTCTGTTTGAAAATTTTAATTTCCTTGCTAATTAGTAGTAATTTATGCCACAAATTCAAAAATAGAATTTCTTGAGTATTTGAATTTCAAACAGCTCGACAGCAATCGGGTTTTTTGAGTTACCTACAGAACAGATTTCATTGATAAACCTTAAAAAATACTATGGTGTTGTAATTTTGTATGTTAAGCCAAAAATCTTCAGTTTTTCTTCAAGCCAATCAGTAAATAATAACTATTTTTTTTATCTATCGTTCGTAAAAATTACAAGATGGTTTTGAGTTGCATTTCGGAGTCGCAGGCGTCAGCTGCCTTGCCTCTTATATTCTTATCAACTGTTTACCCATAAAGACGTCTAAGAACCGGGATATCGTTTTCCTGATTTGTAATTCTGATCCTTAACACGGTAATATTATCTATATTACCTTATTCCTTAGGGTATATAAGAGCGCGCGCTGCGTTAAACGGGGCACGAAGCGAAAGTCCGCTCGGCGTGTTTGTTTCATGTTATTTGAAGAGCTGGCGAAAAAAACGGTATTATTACGCATCTGGTCAAACTCCTTTTTTTAAGGCCGAAGATTTCTCGCACGTTGATTTGAATTTCAAATAATTTTCAAACAAATCCGCCTAAAACAGTGTTTAAAATGGAAATTGAAAACATGCCAAAAGCTCACTGTAGGTATGTCCTCTAGTTTTATACAGCTCCTGTAAATTTTAATTTTATGTAATTATAACGTTTTGTTCGCTAGCTCCTCATTTCATAGAGCAGCGCTG